CTCTTTACTTTGAGTTTAATTAGCTCTTCTTTTTATAGTTTTTTTTCTTAAGGTGGAAGATTTGTGACCTTCTTTTCAAATGCAGACATTTGAATATATACAAATATTTAGCTCCATCCTGCAAATTTTAATATATTGCATTTTCATTATCATTCAGTTCAAATTATTTTCTAATTTTTCTTGTGATTTCTTCTCTGACTCAATGATTATTCAGATATGTTATTTAATTTCCCAAAAAAATCCGTTTTTCAGCTTATCATATTATTATTGATTTCTAATTTAATTCTATTGTTGTCAGAGAACTTATTCTCTATGATTTCAATTATAATTATTTTAAATTCTTGATCTGAGAGTTCCAAAATCTCTGTCACATCTGAATCTGGTTCTATACTTGATTTGTCTCTTCAGACTGTGTTTTGTTTTGTTTTGTTTTGTTTCCTTTTAGAATGCCATGTTATTTTTTGGTTGAAAACTGAACATGATGTGCTAAGTAAAAGAAACTGAGATAAATAGGGCTTTCATGTGAGATTTTATATTTATGTGACTAGAGGTTAGGCTGTGTTTACTATTTGCTGTAGGTGTCAGAGATTAAAATTTCCTCTAGTGTCCTTGTTTTTTTCTCCTCCGTTGTATCTGGGTTTCCCTAGAGACTCAATCTTAAGTAGAGTCTGATCCTTGCAGTTCTTTTCAGCTATAACTCCCGTTATTGCACAGGATCCTTGTCAATGTGGTTGTAAGATGTGGGGGAGGGAAAGCATTCTATAAGCCTATGATTGGGTCTCAGTCTTTTAATGGGCCTGTGTTCCTGGGTTGTGACCTTCTTAACAGCTTCTCGGCTTGCTTTTTCCCCCCTTAGGTGAGACAGAAAGATTACAGGTGGCCGCTGTTGGGTAATTCCCTTCCCCCAAGTAGGTTCCTGTTGCCGTTGAATAGATTCCAACTCATAGCGACCCTATAGGACAGAGTAGAACTGCCCCATAGGGTTTCCAAGGAGTGGCTGGTAGATTCCAACTGCTGACTTTTTGGTTAGCAGCTGAGCTCTTAACCACTCTGGTAAGACCCAGGTTGATTAGGTTCTGGTAAAATGGGCTTCCTTGATAGCAGACCTTTGTTAATGAGAACAGAATGCTCTGGATGTATTTCAAAATGGTTGCTTCCCCTCCTCCCCCACTGCTGGAAGCAAGGGGCGATCTTCACCCTGAGAACCTGCTGGAGCTCCTGGAGGTAGAACTCAGGAAAGTATGGAGACCCCTTAAACTAGAGAGTTTTTACCTCTCAAACTAGCTCACTTCAGTCTCCAGCAATGACTTAATTACCCTTTAAGTGTCCCTATCACGCTCCAGCTGTGGCTTCTGTTCCCAGTAAGCTCTGATTCTCTGTATTCACCTGTCTCTCCAGTTTTCACGATGGCGGTTTACCCTGTGGTCTCGATTCTCTGACGGATCTAAAAACAGTTGTTGATAGTTTGTTCAATTTTTTTCTTGTTGTGAAATTGAGACAGATGACTTCCTAGCTCTTTACATATCAGACTGGAAACCAGAAGTCTATTTTTCTCCCCTACAAATTTGAAATGTTAACTTTATCAAATCTATATCTTATATATTCATGAATTTGTTGATGATCTTTATAGTGTTTTACTTATTGTAACTTTTATTGTATATTTTAATTTGGCAAATCATCCCTTGCTCCCGCTCATCTTATTCAAGTGATTTTTGCTATACTTACTCGTCCTCTTTCAAAAGAATTTTATGGTCATTTTATCAAGTTAAAAAAAAATCTGTATTGGTATTTTTATTGAACTGGCATGAAGTGTATGCAAAAAATTAAATTTCAGGCCTTCAATCCAGGAACATGGTATTCCCTCCATTTGTTCAAATTTTCTTTTATGAATTCCAGGAAGTTTTGAGTTTGTTTTTTTTTCCTTCTATGTTACCCTGAAAATCGCTGGTTAAAACAGTACTTAGCAACGTTACGTTGATTGCTACCATGTGTCAGATCTTCTGTCTAATTACCTGTTCTATCTCATTTTACTGCTTTTTAAGAAAGCACATACGATTGTATCATCTGCAAATATTGATTTTTACTTTCTTTTCTACCTCAGCTCATTATTGGAAACATCCTGGACAACATCAACGAGACATGGTGTTGCCAGGTGTTCCTCTTCTTTCCTACTTAAAGGAGAATACCTCTAGTATTTGCCTTTTAAGGCTTACACGTTATTTTGAAGTAGATATTCTTTATAGCACTAAAGCATTCTTTCCTTCTTAGTTTACAGAGATGTTTAGAAAATTGGGAATGGGGAGTCAATTTCTAAAAATGTCCTTTCAGCAGATACTGATATGATAATGTAGTGTATCTCCTTTGCTCTACTGATATGATTTATATTAATATATTTCAATACTTTACAATCCTTGGGTTCTTGGAATTAACCCTATTTGGTCATGAAGAATTATTCTTTTAAAAGACCTATTTATACAATCCGCTTAATGCATCTGTGAATCGCCAAACTCCTTCCTCCATGCTCTCACGCTCTCGTCCTCTGTAGATTTTTCCCATCTCACCTCTGTGTCCCATATATACACATACAATGTATACTGAGATTTTGAGGGCAAGAGCTATATTTTAAGCATAGTGCCAAGTATGTAAAATATTTCTTGAACAAGTACATCAACAAATAAAAGGTAACTTATTTCAATCTGGGACTTTAACATTAAGGTATGCATGGATATAGCAAAGATATAAAGGGGAAAATGGGAGATATACTCACTAGTAACGTGGGATGCGTGTGGATTTGGATACATTGCTCTGAAAGGTGGGGCCTTGCCAGCCTTTGGCAGCTTTCCTGAAAAGAAAAGAAGAAAAACATTCCCGGGCTGCTGTTGTCTTATCTCATCAGCATTTCTGAATGGCTTCCACTCCCTGGTGGATGGTAGTTCCACTCTGAGGTCGCTGAGTTTGTGGAAGCCTCAAGTGGTTAAGTAAACATGTTTTTTAAACCTTCAGGGTGAGAATGTGCCAGATATGGGCACATTTTAGGTGGCTGAATGTGTCAGGGCCTGTACTGCACATGCAAGAAGCCGGTTAGAGAAGAATTCACTGAGTTGTTGGCTATAAAAGCTACCGAAGCTGTTCTATCCATGACATTTGAAAGTGAAATGAACATCTATAGCGGCTCTGAATCAGCATTGCCAGTCGAGTGTTCTGCCATTTTTAGCCAACAGAAGCATGCATTCTTGTTCTGACTGATGGGGAAGTAAGCAAAGGAGTGCACAGACATTGAGGGCATGGGTTTGGTATTTTAAAAATAGCAGTTAGGAAATCTCTAAATAGAAGTAACTTCTTGGGAAAGATGATCAGAATCATTGCTTTGCAGTACGTAGGGTGGAGGTGGGGCAACTAGGGAAAAAGGATTTTTGTTCATTTGTTTGTTTCAGGAAGGGTACAATATCTGCCTGTTTGTAAAAGCAATGCCAGTTGCCCTAGAGTGAATTCCGACTCATGGCGACCCCGTGTGTGTCAGAGTAGAACTGTGCTCCATAGGGTTTTCAATGGATGGGTTTTCGGAAATAGATCACCTGGACTTCCCTCCTAGGCGCCTCTGGGTGGCTTGAACTGCTAACCTTTTGGTTAGCAGCCTAGTGTGTCAACCCGTTAACCGTTTGCGTCACCCAGGAACTCCAAAGGCTCCTTGATTTTTCCACTTCTTACTAACCCTGAGGTGAATGAATCGGATACCATTTTATTCCCATTTTACAGATAAGGAAACTGAGGTGCATAGTGGCTGACTACATTGGCTCAACCCAGGTTAGTATTCGACCCCACGCAGCCTGGCCCTGATGGGTGAAATGTCCGAGAGACTGAAGAGAGTGAGGCACCCGCTCCCCACAGAGAAAGGCTTCTCCACTCGCCTTCAGGGGTCCCCGACCTAGGAGCTAGGAGCCCTAGTGGTGCAGTGCTTGAAGGGCTCAGCTGCTAACCCAAAGGTTGGCGGTTCCTACCCTCCAGTCGACTGTTCAAACCCATCAGCCGCTCCATGGGAAAAATATGCGGCAGTCGGCTTCTGTAAAGATCTACAGCCTTGGAAACCCTGTGGGGCAGTTCTGCTCTGTCCTACAGGGTTGCTAGGAGTCAGAATCGACTCCACCGCAGCGGTGGTTTTTTTTTATGTTGGGAACACACGTGTCGATACTGTAGGGAAGTGTGGAAGGAGGTAGAAGGAGAATAAAGAACCTGGACACCGGGCCTTCTTTACTGACTGCGTCTGTGATCACAGGTAAGACATCATCCTCTGCTCTGTTTTTTCCAGCAGTAAAATGACTGAGTTCGACAAGAGCTATGAGTTTCTCTCCAGTTGATTTTTATGATTATTAAACTCACTATAGGAGCCCCGGAGCCTGGTGGTGCAGTGGTTGAGAACTTGGCTGCTAACCAAAAGGTCTGTTGGCAGTTCCAATTCACCAGCTGCTCCTTGGAAACCCTATGGGGCAGTTCTATTCCATCCTATAGAGTCCCTGTGAGTCAGAATCTAGCAGCTGGCAAGGGGTTTGGGATTTTTTGGTTTTCCACCTAGTGGATGGGAGCCCTGGTGGCGCAGTGATTAAGAGTTTGGCTGCTGTGCTCCCTTCGGCAGCACATAGACTAAAATTGGAACGATACAGAGAAGATTAGCATGGCCCCTGCGCAAGGATGACACGCAAATTCGTGAAGCATTCCATATTTTTGTGAGAGGTTGGGGTCTCATAACAATGTATGTAAAAAAAAAAAATCTGTATGGAAGACTAACTTGAAATGTAAACTTCATTTAATAAAAAAAAAAAAAAAGAATGCGGCTGCTAACCAGAAGGTCAGCAATTCAAATCCACCAGCCGCTCCTTGGAAGCCCTATGGGGCATTTCTACTCTGTCCTATAGGGTAGCTGCGAGTCCATGGCAATGGGGTTCGTTTTTTTTGAGTTTTCTACCTAGTGGATAGGTGGCTCCGCGGGCTCCCCGCGGGGGGCGATGTTGGCACGTGGTGCGGAGCCTGGTCAGGTGTCACCAGGCTGTGGCCGCCAAGTGCGAAGGGGGGCGCCGGCCCAGGGGAGGTGGTGGCGCGCGGCACCGGGGCGGGGAGTGGAGGGGGCTGTGAAATGCCATAGAAGCGCGGGGCGCGCTGCGCGGGGACTGCGCGATGGCCAGGCAGGCGTGAGCCCAGGCGGGACCAAGCGGACCGGGACCTTGCGGGGCAACGACAGCGCGCTGCCCAGCGCCTCCCAGCCGGCCCCGGGCGGGGAGGGCGCGCGGCCGCGGCTCTCGAGGCTGGCCTGCACGCTCGCCTGCAGCCTCGTCGTCACCATTGTGGTGGACATCGTGGGCAACCTCCTGGTCATCCTGTCTGTGTATGGCAACAAGAAGCTGAGGAACGCAGGTAGGGGCTCTGGGAAGCGCAGGCTGTCAGTGTCCACAGCCTGGGCACCGTCTGGGAACTCAGCACTGGAACCTCTCCACGGTCCTTTACTAAGAAAGTTCAGTTCTTGTTCTTTGTGAAAACTGGGGACTTTGGCCAATGCAGAGTGAAGGCTGTCCCTGTACTTTTCCTTTAGCTTGCCCATCTAAAGTGTCTTTTCACAGAACAGTCAGGAGTCTTCAGTCCCTAGTGGGTGGAAAACTTTCCATTCACTTTCCTGTAGGGGGGAAACCCTACTGTGACGTTTTCGGTCTCTGAGATTTATTACACTGAGAGGCCCGTGTACAGGTTGCACAGTTCCTCCCTAAACCCTTTCAAATCAGGACAGGTGCGTACGGTTCTTATTAGCCTTCCTAGAGGGCAAGGGGAAGCCCTGCTGGTGGAGTGGTTAAGAGCTACAGCTGCTAACCAAAAGATTGGCAGTTCAAATCCACCAGGTGCTCCTTGAAAACCCCATGGGCAGTTCTACCCTGTCCTATAGGGTAACTGTGAGTCGGAATCGACTTGATGGCCACGGGTTTGGTGGTTTTGGTTTTGGCAGTGCAAGAAAAAGGCTCGAAGCCTTTTCAATGATTTAAAAGCTGCACATGCAGTCAGTGAAGGTGATTGTGATGAAGACTTTGTGGTGAGCGGGGGCTGGTTTAGTCATTTAAAAGTGAGGACAAATGTACATGACATTGAAGGGTAAGTACACTGTCCATAAGTTTGTCACCCAGGGACTGCTGCTACTTCCCAAGCAGTATGGGAGGGAGGAAGGGAGGAAGGAGGGAAGGAAGGAAGGAGGAAAGGAAGGAGGGAGGGAGGGAGGGAAGGAAGGGAAGGA